TTCTCAAGCCAAGTATGCCAATGACGTTATTCATCGTACCGGTCTTACTAACACTAAGATTTCTGATGCCCCTATTGAGCTTAATGTGAAGCTCACCCCTTCTGATGGTGTTCTTCTCGATGATCCTACTTTATATTGAGAGCTTGTGGGTTGCTTATTCTATTTAACGGTTACTCGTCATGATCTGGCCTATACTGTTCATGTGGTTAGTCAGTTCGTTTTCGCTCCTTGTTCTACACATTGGGCTGATTTGGTTCAAATTCTTCACTATCTCCAGAGTACTATATTTCAGGATTTACTATTGTCTTCTACTTCCTCTTTTTGGACTTAGTAGCTTATGCTGATTCTAATTGGGCTGGTGATGTCACTGATCGCAAGTCCACTTCTGGCTTCTGTATGTTTCTTGGTGATTCCTTGATTTCTTGGAAGAGCAAGAAACAGACTGTTGTTGCGCGTTCCACTACCCAGGCTGAGTACCGTGCTATGGCTCATGCCACTACTGAGATTGTTTGGCTTCGTTGTCTCTTGACTGATTTAGGTGTCCCTCAGTCTTCTCCGACCTCCCTTTACTGTGACAACCGCAGTGCTATTCAGATTGCACATAACACTGTCTTTCATGAGCGGACGAAGCACATTGAAATTGATTGTCATTTTATCTGTCAGCATCTGTAGTCTAGTTCCATCTCGCTTCCTTTCGTTTCTTCGGCATTACAACTTGTTAATTTCATTACGAAGACTCACACAACTGCTCGATTTCAATTTCTTCTTAGCAAACTCTCAATATTTTTTGCTAAAACACCTTGAGTTTGAGTGGGAGTGTGAAAATATTATGTAATTATGGAAATATATCAATTAGGTTAATTATGAATATTCGATTGATATTGTATAGGGTTATTTCCTATTATAGATTAGGTCTAGGATTGCTATAACTATTGGTTGTAATCTTTGTATTATGCACAAGTTGAATATATAGAATTATTTAGAAACTTACACTACGAGCTCTAAGAACACAACTCATCAAGGATGCTTTCTACAACATTCAGTTATTCTTCCCAAGTTGGAACTAGAATTAGTCGAAAAGAAGAAGGTTAAATAAAGGGAGGGGAAGAGGGTGGGTTCAAAAATCAAATGCTTTAAGATGCAGTCTAGAACTCTATGCCGCTAGTCACATCAAGAAACCCACCAAACACACAAGGCTGAAATGTCACCACATGATAAAACAACTAACATTGATTTCTTTTACAGTAGTAATTGTGCACACCCACAAGGCCATCACTGAAATAATTGACTGATTGCAACTGGCAAGAAAACATCAATGAAGCAGTAAAGTGGAGAAGAGATGAGTAAAAGTAGAAAAAAATCAGATGATAGTCATATAAACGGGCACAAGAATCACAAATGTAATGAGTGGCAATACAACAAAAGAGAACAAGAAACAGACACCTTCATAACAACCCAAAAAAAAAAAAAAAAAAAAAAAAAAAAAAAAAGAAGAAGAAGAAGAAGAAGAAGAAGAAGAAGAAGAAGTCATCTAAGACGGTTCAGTTATATTCAACAAAAACAATATAAGCACCAGTTTAGAGGAGTGATATGCCTAAAGTTTGCAATTTGAATGCGCTTAGAGGACAAGAGGAAGCCCAAAAAACATGGGTCAAGGCTGCGAGAGAAGACATAATTACCTAGGATCTAATTGAAGAAACAGATTGGTCTAGGAAATAACCACATGCAGTCACCTCAAGCCCAAGAGCAACCGTGGGAATCTGGGACCATAACTTTCAAGCACCAACATCTCTCATCAGGAAAGTTTGGAGCTAATTAAACATTATTCAGCAACACAAGGGCAAAAAGGAAACTCAATTGCAATATTTCACATTTCACATATTTAACGAAATGAACATTTCAGCAACGCAGAACACCTTCTTACTAAAGATTTAACCATTGAACATTGAAATTAAGAACAGAAGACAAAAAATGACACCTGTGAAGAAATTGCAGAACAGTTTAAATATGTCCTTACTGCTTTTTAGGTGCCTAACTACATAATTTCCAGGAAGATTATACTGTCTTTGGAAGTAAAACGAGATTCAATGTAAATAGTGTCATATGGAATGAAAAAAATACCGCGTGTACGAATTTAAAATTTTCTGGAGGTAGGCCAGCAGTTGCTGCAGCTGCCTGTGCATACTTCTCCATCTTTCTGTTGGGATCTATGCCAAAAACATGAACACCATTATCACTGGCATAATATTTGAGATTAGGACCTGTCCCAATGCCAAGCTCCAACACTGTCTTAGCCTTTCCCCTCAAATTTGTAAAGATCTGAGACTTAAAACCCGCAACCTTACCAAAGAAGAGGTGCATATTAGATATACACATGGTTGAAATTGCAGTAACAAGAACACGGGGCAAAATCAATACTTGCACACCCTGGTCTAATTGTGACAAAAAAAAAAAAAGGCACTAACCTCTGCCTCGTATGCTTTACTGCCCTTATCCAAGATAAATGCATATAATTCCTCATACCAATCTGGCCTTGGAGGGTGAATACTGTTCAGCACATCCTGCATATGCAACGTGTCATTTTTAATGCTTTGCTGCTGCTAAAACATTTGATGCTTTTAACTGAAATCACAACCATCCCAAACATATTGTCTATGTTCCGGTTCTGGTTTTAACTGCATCCACTATTCAACTTGGTAGAGAAATTCAAGTTTGCTTAACAAATTTCATCATTGTGTGACCAAACATTTGATGTTAATATGATGCATGTCGACAACATAGATACACGACTTACACATAAACTCGGTGGGTATATTAATATTTATCCAAATCTCCCCCTGCCATGAATTCCAAGTATAACAGTGTGTAGGTTAATGATAGGAAAGTGTTAATGTACCCAAAATTTGAAATGTGTGGATCAGTGGATACGACCTACATCACACCAAATTTAAATATTTAAATCTATACATATATTTAAATTCTGAACAATTTTTTTAGGATTTTTTCTCCTGAATGCATAGAATTTCTGAGAAAGATAACAAACTTGTCTTGATTGAGTTCAAGCTTTTCCTACTTAGGGCATCTCCAACCCTTGACTAAAACTTATATCAAATTTAAATTTGGGTAAAAATACTCAAAAACCTCTCCTCTCCTTGACTCAAACTTGCATCGAATTGAGCTTTATCTATTTTTTTACCCAAATCAAGGGAGACTTAAATGTTTACTTGAATTTTTCAATACCATCTTTGTAACATCAAAATTTACAACTTTGTCATTACTGAAGCACTCAAATTTATGTTTAAATTTGAATTACTCCATTGGAGTGCTTCATATCAAATAAAGCTTTTACTTTTCAAATTTGAGTGGGGGCTGTGGATGGCCTCATACATGCTTTTGAGAGTGTAATTGGACAGACAGTTAAATTAGTTCCACATATGAAGTAACAAATTTTTGGCATACTTGTTTGAATGATTAAGAATGTAAAAATAGTAATACTTAAATTACCTCATATCCTATTTTATTTATCCCTAACCTAAATACAATGAAACCAAAATCATTTTTCTCAGTTATGGCTTCTCATACATAAAAGAACAAGGAATGCAAACGAGATCATGTTTGCAAACAGAGAGTCTTGAACTCAAAAGATCCCTCATCTGAGCTCTGATAGAATGTTATAGCCCATTTGGATTGGGTGATTTGGGAGGAAAAGAACATAAACGCATTTCTATTTCTTCATATCACTTGTTCACTTGTTTGGATAAGCAAAGAGAGAGAAATAGAGTGAAAAGGAAGAAAACCCATTTCTCTCAAAACCTTTTTGAATCTTTTGGAGAGATTGAGGGGAAAATAAAAAACAAAAAACAACAACTAAATATTATTTATTGTAATATCAAAACTACCTTTTACACATAGAACAACATAGAACAAATAAATATAAAAAGGTTACTTTGGTGATATATCATGGGAAAATGTTTGAGACCCTCGTAAATCTTCCACGGTAATTGACAATTGTCAGTTTTTGATTTACTCAATCATATAGGACCCATCACGTTTGGGATATCATTGTAGATGCATTTGTGGACGTAAAATGTGAGTTTCTAACATTGTTGTATACATAATATCATTTCTTTACTTTTACATTGCTTAACTACCCAAGACAAAACACCATCTAAATACTCTCTCTCTTTTCTTTTCTCTTCCAGGTTACCAAACAATAACCTAGTTCCAAAAGTTTGTTAGGAAAAGGGTATATCAAACTACTCAACAGTATATATATATTAGTGGGTGGCACACGCAATGTGTGTGCAATTCAGATAAGTAAGCATAAAAATAAATAATAAATAAATTAATATTATAATATGTATATTATCTAAATGTTAAGATTGCTCTTAATCTTAATAAAACCAAGGTCCTGAGTGCAACGCATTTCAATTAAGATAAGTAAGCATAAAAATAAATAATAAATTAATTAATATCATAATATGTATATTGTCTAAATGTTAAGATTGGTCATAATCTTAATAAAACCAAGTTCTTAAGTTCAAATCTTATTCACACTTTTAAATATATATTTTTTTTTTAATTTTAGGACAAGTAATAGAAGGAGAAGCCACACGCCAGATATAATATTAGCGGTTGACACACGCATTATGCATGTAATTAAAACAAGTAAAAATAAAATTAAACTTTTATTATATATGATATGTCATGTAAATAGTAAGAATCTTATTTATTTATTTATTCAAAGGTTTGAAATTTGAGTCCTACTCTTTATCATCTATCTAATTTTTTTTTTTATAGATTTCAAATAAGAAAATAAAAAGATGTGACATAATTAAGTGAATTGTTCACTTTTAATAATAATATAATATAATATAGATAATAGTATAGATAGATATTGTATTATATAAAGCAGTGGAAAGAGTAATGAACCTCGGGATCGTCGAGAGGCGGAGGAGAAGCGGAGGAAGAAGGAATTGCGAAGAAACTGGTACCAATTGCTTCCATTAAGCGTCTTCTTCCGCAAGAGCAGAATCTGTGGGCACATAAAGAGTCCGGAGCGCGTGATTGGAGGACTTTGTCGTTTGATTGTTTGAGTGTGGGAGACGAATCGGACCCATGAACTTGTCTGCCGTTGCATTTCAAGCTCCTCCTCGTTGTTGTGGCTTTACCAAGCAGATTTTGATTGGAAATTAAATCAACTTTGGTTTTCAACAGCAAGACTGTTGATGATGAGTTGAAGAGTGTACGAACCATCATTCTGTACTTGGCTCAGAGAGAGAGAGAGAGAGAGAGTAATTTTGATCTTCAGCCGATGACCATTTGAGGTCAATTAGAAACTGAGTTAACCAGTTAACCTCGGAGACGAAGGCTTTGTTTGGTTTGTTTTTCAGAAAAATTTTTGAAAAAATTCTCTATAAATAAATTTTTAAAAATAATCAAATCAAACAAATTTTTTTTAAAAAAATTTTAAAATTTTGTTTGTTTACCTACTGTTTAAAATAACTCTCTTTCTCATATACATTAAATCAATCACTTTTTTTAAAACTTTCTTTTCAAAATAATTTTTCAAAATTATTTCTAAAAAAAAACAAACTAAACAAGTTTTTGTTTTTTTTTTTATTATTATTATTTATCTTAAAAATCACTCTATAAATACAAATCAAACACACCCGAAATCTTCTTCTGTTTCTCGACGGTGAAGTAACACCAAATAAGCGCATTAGCCGTTTATCAACTATATATTTTGGGGTGTTTTGAAAAATTAGTAAAAAGTTAGTTTTTGACTTTTTTACGTTTTTTGACTTTTTTATAAGTGATTTGGAAAGTTAGTAAAAAGTTAATTTTTTTACTTTTTGATTTAATATTTTTTAAAAGTGTCACATCACTCTAAAATGATCAAAATATTCTTATTTTTTGCATGTCAACAATTTTTTGAATTAATTAATTATAATATTTCAGATGATGGTTTGGTAAATTTTTAAGTGGCTTTTTGGGGTCTTCCCAAGTGGGATCAATAACGTTTTTGCAAGGGTTGGCGTTTTGGGGAAGTTGCTCAAACCGCAGCTTTTTGCTGCGTTGCCAAAATGGCACTTTATGTCTTGAATAAAAAAAAAAAAAAAAAAACTTGAATAAAAAAAAACTATATATTTTATGGAGAATATTTGGTTGACGGAATTTTTGTAGTTTGAATGGTTTAGATGTACCAAAGTAACGTCTTTTTATACTTAAGATGATGTTATTTTTTGTGTTTCGAGTCATTTGAACCATGATTTTTCAGGTCATTTATCATTGTTGATATTTTATACATTTTAATTTAAAAAAATTAAAAAGTAACTCTAAATAATCAGTTCATTCTCTTTACCTTTTTATACACCCTTTTATAAAAAATTAATAAAGTAATCTACTCCTAAACGATGCGCTAAAAAACAAACTTTAATTTTTAACTTTAAATTAAAATGTGGGTGTTTGGAAAGTAAATTTTTATGTAAGTTTTTTTAGTTATAGGATATTATTAGAGAAAAAAATTTTGGTGTTTTGAAAGATAATTAGATTTTTTTGTAATTAGATGTGATTTTATGAGAGAAAAAGTAAAATAATTATTGGGTTAGATATAATATTTTGTTTAGATTTATTTTTTTTATTTTGCAAAAACTTTATCTTTTAATGAAAAAAATTTAAAAAAAAAACCCCAAAAAAAATCTTCCCAAACACCGCCATTCAAAATAACTCTTTTTCTCATATACATTAAATCAATCACTTTTTTTAAAACTTTCTTTTCAAAATAATTTTCTAAAATTATTTCTGAAAAAAAACAAACTAAACAAGTTTTCGTTTTTTTTTATTATTATTATTATTTATCTTAAAAATCACTCTATAAATACAAATCAAACACACCTGAAATCTTCTTTCGTTTCTCGACGGTGAAGTAACACCAAATAAATTTTGGGGTATTTTAAAAAATTAGTAAAAAGTTAGTTTTTGACTTTTTTACGTTTTTTGACTTTTTATAAGTAATTTGAAAAGTTAGTAAAACGTTAATTTTTTTACTTTTTGATTTAATATTTTTTGAAAGTGTCACATCACTCTAAAATGATCAAAATATTCTTATTTTTTTGCATGTCAACAATTTTTTAAATTAATCAATTATAATATTTCAGATGATAGTTGGGTAAATTTTTAAGTGGCTTTTTGGCGTCTTCCCAAGTGGGATCAATAACGTTTTTGCAAGGGTTGGCTTTTTGGGGAAGTTGCTCAAACCGCAGCTTTTTGCTGCGTTGCCAAAATGGCACTTTATGTCTTGAATAAAAAAAAAAAAAACTTGAATAAAAAAAAACTATATATTTTATGGACAATATTTGGTTGACGGAATTTTTGTAGTTTGAATGGTTTAGATGTACCAAAGTAACGTCTTTTTATACTTAAGATGATGTTATTTTTTGTGTTTCGAGTCATTTGAACCATGATTTTTCAGGTCACTTATCATTGTTGATATTTTATACATTTTAATTTAAAAAAATTAAAAAGTAACTCTAAATAATCAGTTCATTCTCTTTACCTTTTTATACATCCTTTTATAAAAAATTAATAAAGTAATCTACTCCTAAACGATGCGCTAAAAAACAAACTTTAATTTTTAACTTTAAATTAAAATGTGGGTGTTTGGAAAGTAAATTTTTATGTAAGTTTTTTTAGTTATAGGATATTATTAGAGAAAATTTTTTTGATGTTTTGAAAGATAATTAGATTTTTTTGTAATTAGATGTGATTTTATGAGAGAAAAAGTGAAATAATTATTGAGTTAGATATAATATTTTGTTTAGATTTATTTTTTTTATTTTGCAAAAACTTTATCTTTTAATGAAAAAAATTTAAAAAAAAACCCCAAAAAAAATTTCCCAAACACCGCCAATATCAACTTTTAATCAATTTTTCTAAACAACCCATATCTCTTGGAATTTTCATAAACTTTTGATAAGACTTTTTATTTTTAATAATTATTTTAATTTTTTAAAGTCTGATTATAGTAAATGATTCCAAAAAAACTAAATGACGAAAATAATTCAAAATTTTAACAAAGTTAGCTTCTTTTTTTTCTTTTTCTTTTTCTTTTTCTTTTTTGGATTTTTTCAATAGTTATTCTAATATTTTTATATAAAAAAAAATATGGCCTGATTTAATTTACACAAATTTAAAAAGTAAAATTTTAACACAAAGTTCAAAAAATAATTATTAAAAAAAAATAATTTATAAGATGCATGTAAAAAAAAGTCTCCCTCTTTTAATTTTTAATTTTTTATTATTTATTATATAAATAACTTTAATATCCAAGTATACTCATTGCAAACAAAATTTCAAGACAACGTGGTAAGAAGATCTCTAATGGGTTCTTTAAAAAATCTCTAAGACTATCTCCAACGGTGAACCAAACCCAGCATCAAATTCAAATTTTGATGAAAAACCTACTTTTCAAGCTCCAACCGTTGCACCAAAGTCATATCAAAATGAGAATTCAGCAAACAAAACATCAAACTGAGACCAAGACACATATTTTACCAAATCACTGTTACTGACCGTTGAAAGTGGTACACCGGTCAACCAACCGGTTGCCCAGCCGGTTGACCAACCGGTCAACCAGTAAACGATTCAAACAGTTCAGGAAAAAAAGTTCAAACCGTTAAAAAAAATAATAATAATAAATTTGCCTAACCGGTCAACCGGTCGGTCAACCACCCCGGTCGTCCCGAAAAAAGTTCAGAAAGTTCAAAAAAAGTTCAGACAATTCGCAAAAAAAAAATTTTTTTGCCTAACCGGTCAACCGGCCGGTCGACCACCCCGGTCGTCCCGAAAAAAGTTCAGAAAGTTCAAAAAAAAGTTCAGACAATTCGCGAAAAAAAAAAAAAAAATTTGGCCTAACCGGTCAACCGGCCGGTCGACCACCCGATTGTCCCGGGATAGATTTGGTGAAAGGTGAACCGTTGGAGCGAGTGGTATCAAAGTTGGTGAAATGAGTCATTTTTTACTTAGATTTGGTGAAAAATTTGAGTCACCGTTGGAGATGCTCTAATGGGTTCTTTAAAAAAAAAAAACTTGTTGACTATTGTAGTTATTATGATTCTATTTTAGTTACTCCAATTGAATATCTATCATCATAATAGTTATTTTAACAAAAAATTTCAAGGCTAGTTATATTTAGAGAACATTTAAAAACTTTTTAAATAGTTTGGGTAGATAAATAGGTCAAATAAAAAATAATATTAGAATACATAAATAAAAAGTATACCTTTTTATATTTTAACTAATAAAAAATATAAAATATAAAATTCTCTAACAATGAATGTATAGAATGAGAACACTAATTTTGACTACAAATCGGTGGGTAGTTTCATTTTACATTTTTTTTATTTATACTTTTTATAAAAAGTGAACAATAATTTAGTATTATTTGATAATTTAATTTATCACTTAAAATTGAGTATATTAAAAAAAATAGGTGTAATATTAAGAAAGTAAAGACATAATAAATTTAAAATTTTTAAAAAAGCAAAAGTATTTGTATTAATAAATAGGGCAAACTTCACTTTTCCTCCATATGGTTTAGGCCATGTGCGGATTCTCCCCTCACTTTCAAATATAACCACGTAATCCCCATGCGGTTGATGGAGTAATGTGCAATGTTAGCTTTTCCGTGTATTCTAACCTGTTGTACAGTGCACACGAGTGTAGTGTAGTTGGGCATGAAAATATAATTTTTCCTTCAAATTAAATGACTAAAATGTCCTTATCTTCATCATCAATTTCCAAAGAATATCCTCATTTTTTTTTTTCGTCTTCATCATCTTCATCATCAGATCTAGAAATGTAATGATTTTGATTTTTTCTCTCTCTCTTCATTTCTTATCATTTCTTACCAAATCACTCCATTAATTCAGCACAAGAGTTAAAACACTTGGCAACAACAGCTTCAAGCAGCTCAATAGATTAAGTCAACACATTGAGTCTCAATAATTGAGAAGAAACCAAAAGAAAATTGTTTTCAAGACTAATAGCACTGGCAGCACAGAATGATGAAACAAATTTGAAATGAATAAAATAAAAGGAAATTGGGAGTTAAATTTCAATAAAAAAAATTAAATTATATCTGTATTTCTACCATAGATCAGGTGTTACTGTTGCAGATGTGGCACAGAGTTGGAATCAGTCAACGGACCAGTCACCCTTAGGGGGCCCACGATAAGTTCATCAACATCAACGGGAAGAAGCAACTTTTTTCATAAACATCCTGTAGAGATGAGCTCTGGTGGTTGAATAATTGTGACAATGACATCAAATGTGGGTTCGTTGTCGCAAAGATCAAAGAAAATAAAAGAGTTTGCGGCAACGACGGTGGTGGTGGATGACAGTGAGAGTCGGAACCGACAGCGTTTGGCCGGAGAGTTTTTAGATCTAGATTATATATAGATCAAAGAAGATTATATACACATATATACATATATAGCCACAAATTATATATATACATTTTTTTTCCCCTCTCTCTCTGTGTTTCTCTCTCTAAATTGATGTGTTACCATCATAAGAAATTAAGAGAAAGAGAACAAAATTAGAATCATCACATTTCCCCTACTGTAAATGTGATGATTTATTTTGTGACTGAAAAGTGATGATTTTGTGTAAATTGATGAACTTAGGAAACATAATTGAAACTCTTCTCAAATGAATAGTTGAAACTCTTCTCAAATGCATAGTTAAATGAGAAATGGTAACTGAAGGGTTATATATACAAGGGTAAATTAGTATTTTTACATCTGTCATTAACAGTGTTAACAGTGCACTTTACTCTATCAACCACAAGGGGGTTCTGTAGTTATATTTGAAAGTAAGGAGGTAATCCGCATATGGCCTAAACCATAGAGGGGCAAAGTGAAATTTGCCCTACTAAAAAATATAAATATAAATAGAAGCTCTCGCATATATAAATAGGTAAATTTCATTTACCTGCTTCAGAATTTATAATTGTAAAATTTATTGTGTTTTTTTTTTATAAATTATACTCCAATATATATATACTAGTGTATACCCGTGCCTGGAGGCACGGCGTAAATAATGTTCGGTATAAATAATGTTGGGATTAAAATGTAGTTATAATTTCTACGTATAATGTCAATTAATTAATTAATTAATTTAATGCATCCTCAACATTTAATTAATCATTGGGAGAACATTGAATATATTAGAAACAGTGTAGCTGCCATCACATATAACCCAAATTTTGTTTGAATAATTGTAGGTCTCGTTAAAATTTAGGAAAAAATAACAAAAAAAAAAAAAACTTAAAATTTAATACTTGTAACAAAATAAACTATTGAGTTTTTAATTTTATAAATTTAAATATTAAATTTCTGATTTATTTTCAATTAAACTATTTGCATGTTTTCAATCTAAACAATCTGAGATCTTTTACGTATTTTTACTAAATAATAAATAATAAATAAATACCATTAATAATCCAAGCAATTTGTCGGTAGGAAGAAGTAGCCATCAGTCTTTGCGGGGTCTGTCTTTCCCATATTTTTTTTTGCATTCTTATTGAAAAAAATAATAATATATCAACACATTTTGCATTCCTATTGATAAAAATATACATAATATATATATCAACACAATTTGAATAGCACAAAAATAAATAAAGATGTGATAGTTGCCAAGCATTTGAAGCGCAACACAATTAAGAAAACCGACCACTATTCGCTTTTCTTACTCGTTTCTTTTCCATTTCTTTCACCATGTTCTTCAACAGAGATGAAGAAATAGTCCATGAATTATAAGTGAAAATTTAAATTGGGTTATTAGAATATAAAAATAAAATGAAACAAAACAATGACCCATGAGAGACATGCGGATTGAAGGAAAAAAAAAAAAAATGTTGAGACCCAAACCAATGTCCAACAGCCCCCAAACCAATGTCAAGACCCTCGCTGACAACACACAAAAAGAAAAACAAATATATAATCAGTTAAGGTTTAGAAACACCAACCCAAATAACATAACATAACTTAACACCAAACCCATATAAATTGAAAGATGCATAAAAAAAAAAATGAAAAAAGAAACAGAACACAAAAAAAGAAAGAGAATCCAAATACATATCAGTTTAAGGTTTAAAAATACAAATCCAACACAAACACATCAGTTTAAGATTTAGAAAAACAAATACAAATTCCAAATCTTAGAAACATAAACTCCAAATGAATGGGTCTCTTTTTGCTTTGATTGAAAAGAACATAATGATTTTCAATGCTCTGTTCCAATGCTTTGTGTCTCTTAAGCTTTTGTTTCCAACTTTTTATTGTGGTTCCATGAAATGCAGACCTAATCACACAAACCCAAACAGAAATCTTAGAAACACAAACACAAATCGAAACTGAAATCTTAGAAACACACCCTAATCAACAAAAATATATATAAAAAATAATAATAATAACACAAATCCAACACAATGAAACATTGAAAACTATTTGAAAAATCACTTAAGAATATCTTAAAAACTATTTGAAACCATTTCATGAGGATGAATTATTATTTCAAACCCAAGGATTAGTTTGTATACCATACTACAAAATAAGTCAAAAAAAAAAAAAACCGCTCTTTCAACCCACCTAAATATTTCAATAAAGTTGCTCTACTAATTTTTTAGCAACTTCATATCTCCTTTCATTCTTATCTTCGTAACACAAACACAAAGTTGCTCACCAATTTGGAAACACAAACACCAATACAAATCATACCCAAACACGTACCTAATCCTATTTGTTCATTAACAATAACATAATCACCAAATCCTATCCGTTCATCATCATCACACAAAAAAAAAATCAAAAAATTAAAAATAAAACAGAGTTGTATGTGCCTCTTCCAAGTACTTCTTCGACCTCTTTGCCACACTCTTCAACCTCTTCATCATGATCATCAATTTGGATAGATCAGAGCCTTTTATATGTACAAATTTTAGCTACAAAAATTTACTTTGCATAGATCAAGTCTTATACATGTATCAAGGCAGAGAAATCGGGCTCAACATATCTTGTCATTTCATATGGCAGAGAAATCGGGCTCTCTCTCGATGAATCCAATGGTCGTCTCTTACCCCACTTTTTGTCACTCGTTAAAATTATCTGATAAGTCCAACTCATTACATAGCGGTTTTTCCTTATTATTGAAATTACATATCAAGTGCCATGTAAACTGAATTTACTAAATTTTTTACTTTCCATTTATCTCATTCATAATCTCCATTTCTTTCTGCAAATATACATTCTATCAAAAAAATGGAAAATTATAAAATACTCTAGGACTATTGAATAATCATCCAAAAATAAAAATTATAGAATAACACATCTATTTTCAAGCTTTTCTAAGTGTACAATCATCAAAATATTCCATGTTGTAATTAAAATGTGAAGAAAAAACAAACAAACAAACAAACAAATAATGGAAGAGTAAAGCTCATCAACTTGTTTCAAGTAGATTGTGTCTTAGTTCATAGCACATTTTGAAAGTGTGTTCAAATTTTAGCTGTTAACCAAGCTATAATATATAGAGCCAAGATTTATTCTTTGTGACAATGATGTTTGTTCACCAACCAGGATCTGGAATTAAATCCAAGTTGAATTATACTTTCGGGTTCTTCCATATGAACATTAAGCTACCAGCCAATGACTCCGGAGGAGTCGCAACAGCCTTTTATGTAAGTTCACATTTACATATATATTCATGCTCCTTGGTATAGGTTATCACTGACACAAAAAAAAAAAAAAAAAAAATGTCGATCTAGTGCAAGAAACTCCTGCTAAAAAGGTGTCACTGATAACATAATGTAAATCCTTTTTTTTTTTCTTTCTTTTGGCAGTTGAAATCGGAAGATAGTGAATTGGATTTTGAGTTCTTGGGCAACAAAAAAGGGAAGCCCATCAGAGTCCAGACGAATGTCTTTTTAAAAGGAAAATAGGGTAGAGAGCAGAGGATCCATGTATGGTTTGATCCAACCACAGACTTCCATACTTACAAAATCCTATGGAACCAACATCAAATAGTGTAAGGCAACTACCTAAACGCATTCCAATTTGAAAAACAAACGTATTCCACAAACTGCTCTTGAAAGCTAGCTATTTTCAAAAGAAATAAAATCATTATATATGAAAATTGAAAATACCCTATTTCAAGGAAACATTTTTAAGTTGTCTTTTAAATATGTCTACACAAAGATGAAATTTATTTATTAATTTATTTTGGTATTTTCAAACTTTCCATTATTTTTGTTTTTGAAAACAACAAAAACATCGAAATTGAAAATGATATCACACTTCTTAAATCACAATCTGTTAGAGTTCTAACTTATTTTGTTAATCGCCTTTCCCCCCAACAGTTATTTTGTTGATGAATATCCCATTCGAGTTTTCAAGAACAACAGACGCGATGGAGTTGGCTTCCCAACACAACCAATGCAACTAATGGCAACTATATGGAACGGAGATAGTTGGCCCACGAATGGTGGAAAAACTAAAATCATTTGGGCTCACGCACCGTTTATAAGTCACATCCGGGGCTTTGCCATTGACGGATGCCCCTATGACAGCTCTCACAGAATATCATGCAATTCTTCCAAGTTCTAGTGGAATGGAAAGAATTACTGGCAACTGGCAACTGTCTCCTAACCAAGAAAGAAGACATCAAGTCATAAAGCACAATTATATGTACTATGATTACTGCAATGACAGAACTAAGCACCCAACATATGCCCCAAAATGCCCACAGTGATAACAGCCCTTTATTTTCCTATTACATAATCATCTGACGATAAGTGCAGTTTAAAACTATTGAATTCACAATATAATATTATGCTTAATCACTTTCTACTTCTTCTAATTCTCAACCTTCTCTCGGACCTAATACATTTTTCAGGACAACTATTGATGCAGTCTAAAGGGTACAAGGAGGTAAAAAGCATTGGTGCTTCTGTTGATCAATCTATTGATGTTGCTGGAATCTACAATGAGGCAGCTACTCTTAATCAAGAAGACATGGTTATTGATGAAAGTAACTCTGGTGAACCATGGGTTCAAGGATTTATGGAAGGTGAGTATTCTGATCTGAATGTTTAGGAACGCCTTAGTGCCGTTGTTGCTTTAATTGGCATTGCGAATGAAGGAAACTCAGTTCGCATTAAACACTACACAATAGACTTCAGAGCAAAACAGAATGTTCCTAGGCAAAATTCAAAATAAGCATTATTTGCATTGGCTCTATAATAAAAAATCACCAAAATGTATGGAAAGTTACTTCATTCAAAATAGGTCCATTAAAAAATTGCACCTTTGCAATAAATACCAATAATAAAATCATGGGCCCAAAAAGAAAGAAAAAAAAAATAAGATAAGGTCATTCAGGAAAAAACTTATGCAAATGTATTGCAACTTAGGCAATGAAAACTTTAACAAAAACTTATTTTTTGACCCAAAAGAAAGAAAATTCAACAAAAACAGTAAAAAAAAAAAAATAACGGGTTTAACATATTGTCAAGTAAATGAAGAGGGTTTTTGAATTTATATAATAAGGGAAAATATAAAATGTAAAATTCAAATATAAAATGACTTAAACAGGAAAATTAAAATGAAATGGAAAATTAAAAATAAATTTAAAAAAAAACCGTTCTCCCGTATTCAAAAAATAAAAAATAAAAAATAAAAAAATCTCAGCCATTCAAACAAAATGTAAAATTAAAAATAAAAAAAGAACCATTCTCCCTTATTCAAAAATAAATAAATAAAATAATAATAATAATAATAATAATAATAATAATAATAATAATAATAATAATAATAATAATAATAATAATAATAATAATAATAATAATAATAATAATAATAATAATAATAATAATAATAATAATAATAATAATAATAATAATAATGTATGTGTCTTAGATTCACACACACTGTGTAATATCTGTCTTAGATTATTCTCACACACTTACATACACCTACAGAATTTGGGATTGGTGCTGTACATGAGTGCATAGTAGATCTATTAAATAATTTAGATTAATTATATATTTATTATTTATAATAAGATTATGTTTATGTTTTAAAAAAATAAATAGTTAATATGATTTTGATAATTTTTTTAAAAAGTGGAGTTTGATCATGAGTCTATATTTATTCCATTAACTTGATTTTTCATGCAAATGATGTACTCAACGAATCCTATAATATAAATCATTCAATTCATGAAAATATGATCCAAACAAATCTTTAGAGTATGATACTAACACCCATCCCAAATCCAAACCTAGAAACCAATATATATCTATGTATAACACATTTAATTATCTAATACACACAAATTAAAGTCCGTACACCTTGTTCAAAAAAAAAAAAAAAAAAGAGAAATTTTATAGTTAGGTTTCATATTTGTTTGGTGGGTAATACAATGCAAAGACGCCTCATCTCATCGTAGAGAGATAGACCAATAATGGCCAAACCATCCCTCGAGGCAGTTATCAAAAATAACCTACTCATATAGATTCATTGTTAGATAATTCACAATATTAGCCAACACATATATAAAAATGTATATGATAGTAGAGGGGCGAGAAAGCAAGAAAGGCATAGTTTTTGGAGTCCATTAAGAAAGAGAAACATGAAAATGGGAAGAAAATAGATGAAGTAACAGATGAAACGAAATATTGCATTTGGGCCTTCCATTTTCGAATTAGTTTCTTTTTCTTTTCAATTGGGTTTGTGTTTAATTACATATGATTTCAATCAATACATTATCTTCCCAATTGAATTTAATAACTTCTTAGCTGAGAAATTAGAGCACTAAATTTTTTTTTTCTTTTTTATTATTATTATTATTTTTCCTTTTAGCTTATGTGTACAGATGAAACGAAATATTGCATTTGGGCCTTCCATTTTCGAATTAGTTTCTTTTTCTTTTCAATTGGGTTTGTGTTTAATTACATATGATTTCAATCAATACACTATCTTCCCAATTGAATTTAATAACTTCTTAGCTGAGAAATTAGAGCACTAAATTTTTTTTTCTTTTTTTTCTTTTTTATTATTATTATTTTTTTTCCTTTTAGCTTATGTGTCCAAGAAATTTCATTAGCACCAAAAAGGAACACAGCACATGCAAATAAATTCCTCATACAAACAACTTTGATAATTTCATTCCATTATCTACAAGATTTTTGCTTTTTGAACTAGGTAGATGATATTTTTGGAAATGTCAATTCTTTTGCCATTGTTTGATCTGTTTAACTTCAGACTCTTGTTGGGTATTATTTTTGTTTTCTGTTCTCTTTTTTAAAATAATACTTCAGTGTTTTGTTGTTTGTTGTATTGAAAATGAGGATTCAAGATCACTGTCGAATTGTTATTCTAGTAGATTGGATATGGAAGTTTGCTTTTCTACAACCAAACATAAACATAAGCTATGCAACACTCATGAAATTATCATTTTAATCTTAACCCCTATAACAATGTCATAGGAAGTGCTACTATATACTGCTGAAACAGGCATGTAGTATACAACTAAAATTTGAGTCACAATGATTCATTACTTTCATCAAATTTTTGGGTGGGTAACTTTCATCAATTTAGGTCATAAAAAAATGAAATTAGTTTGTAACAAAAACACCACAAACGCTTTATGACCAACACTACTTCAGTTCACAAAGACACACCACAAGCTCATAATCAATGTCATTTCAATTCATAAACAAATACCACAAAGTCTCATAACCAAAACCAATATAAGTCATAACCAAGAACACTACGAAAATTTCTTCTTGTATTCTTAGATCAATTTTTCATCACTAAAGGATACAGGTCTAAAGATGCCAATGCTAATTACTTAAAATGACAATTACTATCCTTAAAGAGATTCTACTTCTACACTAATTTATAAGTTTAATTTTATTTACCCACCTTTAAATAATACCCTCACTTTTAATTGGTTAAAAGAGTGGTTTTGTTGTATATTTTTTCTGGGTGCAGTTTTCCATGGCAAAGTGTTGAAAAGTTTTCTTCTTTAATTTTGCTTTGTCAGCAAAAATGGATTGAGCTGGTTGATCAAACCAGAATTATTCAAAACAGGGCTCTAACATAAAGCACTTTCAAAAGTGATAATCAAGCTGATGCTCTCTAGCCTCTAGAACTGCAGGTAAGGGAAGTAAACTGTGGAATGAACTATACACATCAATTGTATTTCGGCCTTAATTGATCAATGAAGAATTTATAAATTTTATTATTATGATTCAAATTGGTTTGTAGTCATGAATCTTTGATAAGCCATTTTTTATGCTCTTTATCTTCTTTGATGCTACTATTATTATGCTCTGTTTTAGCTACTACTATTATAGTAGTCACAGATTGAACCCACTATTATCATTCCACAGCTTATTATGCTATTATCATGATAAGCCATAATAATAGTAGTCACAGATTGAACCCACTTCCCAAGCAAGGGAAGTAAACTGTGGAATGAACTATACACATCATTTTTTAAAACAGAATCTATAAATTAAAAGATAATAGTAGTAGCATCACAAACCAAGAAACTAACTAAAACTTTTAAGAAGATAGAAATTTAGGAGAGTTTATTGAGGGACTTATCTGCCGAAACATGTAGGACATTGATCAAACAGGTGATAGGCTTTCAATGAATGGATACATATTACCAAGATACTTTCCAATTTTCAAGATCCTCTGGCAATCAATGTCTTGGAGTTGAGATCATAAGAAATAACTTTGCCAGGAACAACTAAAAACAGAGTAAAATCTTTTTCATTTGCTCCCTTCACAACACAGAGCACGTAAAATGGGACTATGTCAGGGAATAAAGATAAAATGGGACTAAAAGCAGAAATTTGATAAATCTGAATAAGAAGCAGAAATCCAACTGTTGTAATCCATGTCCATCTGAAGGATTCTAAATCTCAAAGTAGAAATCCGAAAGCCACCTATAGCACATACATAAGTGATCAAGAGCTTCTTTTGCCCTCCATCTGATCTTCTCCTCATTTTTTATGCAGTTTTTGATATTTTCAAATGAAACTGTCCCCTACAAATTTAGTTTTTATATTTCACTAAACTATACCATTCCAAATTGACCAACCGAAATAAGCTCTTTATCTTGTCTCTCTACAGCTATTTTCTACAGTTCAAGTATGAAACACATTAGCTGAGTGAACAAACTGTAGAGAAAAACCAATAACCTATCAGCAAGATTCCCAAATTACATCAAATAGCACACAAAACTAAGCAAATTGGTTGCAATAATAATTGGAATCAACATAAGGAGACTGCAGGGCAGACCTTTACACCAAGAATTTAATCCCTTGAAATCCAAGCCACAATGATACATTCAAGTACTTGAATTAAATGAATCTTTTGTTTCAGTTGTGAAACAAAATTGAACTGAACATGAAATTTGACAGTAATCTAAAGTGGGCTAGGATTTTCTATATGCAGTTTTAAAGTAAAAAGAATGAATTGTGTACCCAATCAGAAACTAAGAATCAAAAGTAAACAGAAGCACCATTAAATAATTCAGTAAAATAATGCATTGACAACTGGACCATGTGCTCTATCTCACTGGGTGGTAGAGAGACAGTTAAAGGTTAACCACCACCACCAATTGATTACCATTAATAAACTTTTGAATGCAAGTGAGTAGGTTTCATGATCCATTTTTGCTGGCAATTGGCAGTGGAAAGAACACTATAAAAAATCCCAGAAAGGCAAACAAACAAACAAACACCTACACTCCATTAATGCTAAACACAATTATTGGGCTTACATGGAGCCAAATTTTCTTTCCCCTTTTAGCAGAGATTAGATTAAAAGAACATTATTATATATAAGATCTAAGATTCAACATTTCATTTCTCTTGCATCCTCCACAAATTCTCTGAGACCAAACAGACAATCAACCCAAAAAAAAAAAAAACAATCTTTTCACTGAATTGAACTCAAAATCAATAAAACAAAAGCTCTCCAAAATCACTGAACAAATTGTACACACAGATCTATAACAAACAACAATGAATACCCAATATTTGCATCAGCAGCAACAATCACAAACTCATCAAATTCAACGAATTACCATAAAAAGCCAACAAATTCAGATCAATGCACATCAAAACCAGCGAATTAACCAATAAAGGAGTGTAAATTTAATCAGATCCATTATAACTTACTTGGGGGGCGGGGGGAAATTAGATCTGAGGCAAACCTCGGGAATGGATAACGAATCGAGTGACAGACACAGTGCGAATAAAAACCCTAGATTTGCATAGAGGAATGTGTGTTCTATAAAAGGAAAGGGGTGCGTAGTTATATAGAATAGATATATAGGAAAGAATTTTAAGTGATCACATTTTCCAAATACCTATCTTATCATGGGAAAGAATTTTAGGGTTTGGATGCATTGGAGTTTGACACACAGAGGAGAGGTGGTCGATGGTCGTCGGCGTCGTGATGGTCGGTAGTCGTCGCATGGGATGGGCTCCGATGCAGGTAAAGATAGAGAGAGAGAGAGAGAGTTCAAAATTGAAATGAGAGAGAGAGGAGATGAGTACCTTTGATGCTCAAAGAGGATTTGGGCGGGAAATAAAGACATCTCAACCATTGAAGTTGAGATAAGATAATTTAAACCATTGGATCAAAATGTATCTCACATATAAATTAGACATTTTCAAATACCCTTCTCCCTTATTATATAGATTATTTTTGTTTTGTCTTGGTCATAGAGGAAGGATTAAGAAGAAGAGAGTTAGGCCTCCTTTTGGAAACATGAGTTTTAATCAGCTTGCTTGTTTTTATTTTTCAGAAAATACTTTTTAAAAAATTCTATTTTTTTATTTTTCGTGTTTTTTTGTTTTTACTAAATTTGCTAAATACCAAAAATATAAAAAAAAAATACAAAAATTCAGTACATTTTTTATATTTTTATGTATTTATTAATTTTTTAAAATATTTTTTCACGAATTTTTTACTTTTTAGATACATCTAACTAAGGTGCATCTAAAAAAGAAAAAAAATATTTAAAATTTTAAAAATATTCACTAAAAATAAAAGAATACGAAAGTCAAAAAACTCAATTTTTAAAAAATTTAATTAAAAAAACTCAAACCAAACACACTAAATAATTTTTTAATTTTCTAATTAAAAATATGATATAAAAAAATTAATATATTTAAAATAATTTTTTATAAAATGATGTACAAAAAATAATGGGAAAAGAAAATTAATCTTTTGATATAAATTATTAATTTTTTAATTTTTTTGACTAAAATCCTTAGGAGGGCTTAATTTGGTAAATTAACACACTAGTAGGATATTTCCGTAATTGAACTTGACCCTTGATCAAACCCTAGAAACTCAAATCGACAAACAGAGAGATATTTTTGGCAAGGTCATATATGCTCTTCTGCAAATCTGCATGAAGAGGCGGTTTTACTTTTTTCACACATTCACACTCTCACCTCTCTATTGATCCATCAATCCATTCCAAGAAAATCCAACAAAGCTCCAAACTTGCTCGATCTCAACTGTCATCTTCTACCCCGAGTTCGTTCTCTACATCCCAATTTTTTCCCGATCTTATCTGTTTCTCATTTTTTACGCAAATTTTGTCATTTTTTTGATGAATTAACCGATCCGACTCTGTTTTCTCCGATTTTGTTTCTCACGAATTACAATTGTTGTGAGGTTAGTTCAATTATCTTTGAGCTTATTGGAAAATGGGTATCTTCGAATTTTTTATTAGCTAATTGCCCAAATATTGGATTTTCCCAAGTGAACCTCGAAGTAATTGTATTTAAATTACAATTGTTGTTAAGTTAGTTCAATTATCTTTGAGCTTATTGGAAAACCCATATCTGTATGGCAATTTAAAATGTGTATTTTTGAATTTTTATTGGCTAATTGCCCAAATATTGGATTTTCCCCACGTGAAACTGGAAGTAATTGTATTTAAGTTAGGCATCTGATGGGTGTGTACTGTGAAAATCAATTGTTGATTTTTGCTGATTGACACCCAAAAAAAAACAAAAAAATGAAGATGGAAAGAGAAGATAATTGAAGAAGTTATGAAAATTCGAAATTTAAAAGCCTTCACTGGGTTGTAGGCTTTATATACTATGATGGGTTTTGTGTGGTTAGTCTTTATGAATTTGAAGAATGTGCTAAGAATGATATGTAAAGTAGTTTTAGATTTTAATGGGAAGCATCGAACTATTTGACTTTGTAATTGATCGAGTGTTCATGGTATTGTGCTTCAATTGTGAAAGATTAGTCATTATGACCATTTATGAGGATGAAATTTGCGGAATGATTTATGGGTGTCTGTTTTCAAGTAGGGTTCCCTCCTACCCGCCTCGCCAGTATTGTGAATTTAAGATAAGAGGTGAATGGTAACATACTAACATCTATC